GAATATTTTGCTCAAAATAAAATTAAAATTAATAATTTGGCCTGATCTGACTTATTACATCAGCGGCTCTACTGGGGGGTTTAAACTTTTTAGCTGGTGTGTTGGCCAAATGGAGATGAGCTGGCCACTTGGGAAAACCATTCCACTATGTACACATGTTCTCGGCCAGACTAGATTGGCTCTAGGCCCGGTGAGTTCCCCTTCCAAAGTCACTGCCTTTAAGAGTCCAGGACACCCCCTACCCCTGATTTTGGAGTACCCTTGCCAAGATGAGGCCACACCTAGGGCACCCTGACATGTTCCCACTCATTTTGATCCTCCCTGGATGCCTAGGATGCTGGGAATCCAGGCCTTGGATCTTCCTCTGCAAGACTCAAAAGCCTAATGTAATGGTCATATCCCTTAGACTTCAGGTCCCAGCAGAGACTTGTGAATGGTTGCTTGTGGATTAAGTCGGATCCCCAATTTCTATGAAATTTTGTCCAAATAGGGTTTGCCTCACACTGTAAGTGTGAGCACCCCCCACACACACACACACAGCCAGGTTTATGAGCATTACATTCCTGACCCATCTTCTCCCTGTTTCTTGGCCTGCCAGCATCTCCTGCTTTCACTCTCTGTCTGCATCTCTGCTCCTCCACCACCACCACACACCCCCACCCCCGCCCAGTTCCTGCTCCTCAGCTCTCCTTGCTTGTTCCTTTCTCCTGTATCTGTTTTGTAAATGTTTCATTCTTCCATTTGTTACAGCATCTAAATGAAAGCTGGAGACATTGGCTGCTTCATGTCCACCATATGACTGTTTACTTCCCTCCCGATCCTGGGCAGCCCACTCTGCTACTGTTTCTATGTTATTATAAAGATAAACAGCTAAGAAATTGGGTATAGTTTAAAATCTTTAAAACTTGTAACTCCAGATTAAAATTGCTCTGGGAAACACCACATGGTCTGCCAATATCTTACAATACGTGGGAAGTCACCATTTTGGCTAAGGTTAAAGAGAGAGATCATATGACTTCAACACCTTTAGTGAGGGTGAACATGTGAACTGGCCCCACCAAGGAAACTTAGGTCTCCAATATATATTTCTCCATATGATAATTCCTGCCCTTTAATAAAAGCAAAGTTTATGAAAGATGTTTTAAAACAATGTTGGTTTGCTGAGGTATAAAGCTACACCTCCACGCATTCATGTATAAGGATGTATCTTGCTGAATAGCCAGATTTTATAGCATACAAGTGTTCCCTTATTATTGTTTTAAAAAACACTTAATTGTTTGCCAAATGTTAAAACTTGGTTGTGCCTTATGAATATATCTTAGGACCACAGCTGAATGCTAGAGACTGAAATATTCCTTCTAATCTTCTTGCTTTCACCAACATTGATAGGCTACAACTAACTAGGAAAACTGTATGTCCAGATTTAGCTCATTAGTTAAACAACATTTGTCTAATTAAGATATACCTAACAGATAATTATACCCTGATCCTCAAATGCTTCAGGGATCTGAGAATATGGCATTTTAATAAAAATAGAGACATGCCAGCTCCTAGCAGCATCCTATATCTCCTCCAAGAAACATGGAATCTTGCTTTAAATGTGGCAAAGCCAGCCACACAGCAAGAAACTGCTTTCCACTTTAAACTGGTGCCAAGACCCTGCCCAGAATGGACAACAGGAAACTGGGGGATTGATTGCCCCCACATTGCCAACACAGGGTGGGTCACTGTCCTCAAATTGCTACCCCACAGGAAAGTCTGTCATGTCATCTGGGCTTGGCAGCTGAAGACAGGTGCTGCCTCTGGGACTTCTGTCCCCCAATGACCATGGAGAAACCTGTGATTGCCTAGGTAGCTCAAAATCTGTCTCATTTCACTCATTTACTTATCCTTCTCAGATCTGATGGTGTTTGAGGACTAGGGTACTGATAGATTTGCCAGTTTAACAGCTCTCTCCCAATCCCAAGGCTATAAGCAGCTTGGTAGCTTGTAAGTTCATTAGCAAAATTTCCTATTAAAAGTTCAAACATTGACTATAAACAGTAATCAGGAGTTCTTAAATTTCTGTGGATTTTACTGGTCCCAGCTTTTAGAGACAAGTTAGGATTAGAAAGGGTATGTAAGCTTGCAGGCATGTTCAACTCTGTTCCTCCCTTGTCTCTCAGCCTCTCTCCCTCCCTCCCTCCCTCCCTCCCTCCTCTTTCATTCACTCAACCATTTCTGTTCAGTGAATTTCCTCTGGTTATAGATGTAAAAGTGTGTTTCATTGGGCTGAAACCAGGACCTATGAAAATGCTCACACCTTTTAACCCAAAGTCATAGCCTTTTGCTGTGACAAATGTAAATCACTTCCAGTTGATTTTACAGACACCTGCAAGTTCCTACAGAGGTCTACTCCTCTCCTTGTGCCCAGGCCAACCTGCAAGGAGTCCTACAGATACACCAGCCAATGGGGTGAGTACCACAGGTTGATTTCACCCACATGCTCACTCATGAAAAGCTCCATTATCTCCTAACAATGGTTGACATTTTTACAGCACAGATAGAAGCATTTCCCACCACTGGGGAAACAGCAGATGTGATGAGTCAGGTACTTCTGAATACATCATCCCCCCAAGCTCCTGGAACATCAGTATTGGTACCACCTCTCCAGACTCAAGAGCATATCTACTCTTTCCTCTAGCTCATTCACCCTTACCTCTTCTGAACAATCAGGGCATATCTCTGTTCCATTCCTTTTTCCATGGCTAGTCAATAATAATAATAATAATAATAATAATAATAATAATAATAATAACCTATTTTTTTCTCCTAGCAACTTGCCTTCTCTGCCTCCTCAAGAAACAAGTTCCTGAGGTCTCCAGGATGGCTGCTAATCAAATGCTTCTTCATCCACACCTCCCACTGTGCATGACCCCACTGACTCCTGATTTCCCCCTCCCCATGTCATCCCTTGCCAAGTGGAAGGACCCAGACTTGAACCTGCATCCATATATACCCAAAAAGGTTGCGATGTTGGGAATCTTCCCTAGAGCTGCTCACTCCAGACCCTGCTGGAGATGTCTTTCTGTATGCTGCGAATATGTTGCTCTGATTGATTGATAAATAAAACGCTGATTGGCCAGTAACCAGGCAGGAAGTATAGTATAGGTGGGATAAGCACAGAGGAGAATGCCGGAAAGTGGAAGGCTGAGTCAGGAGATGCTGCCAGCTGCCGCAGCCATGAGAAGTAAGATGTAAAGTACTGGTAAGCCACAAGCCATGTGGCAACTTATAGGTTAATAGAAATGGGTTAATTTAAGATATAAAAACTAGATAGCAAGAAGCCTGCCACAGCCATACAGTTTATAAGTAATATAAGTCTCTGTGTGTTTACTTGGGTCTGAGTGGCTGCAGGCCTCAGCAGGACTAGTGAAAACTCCAACTACAAGACCCTGAAAGCCCACCAAGCAGTGGCTCCACCCCTCCTGGAGTGTACTTAAGATCTGGCCCACAGACTTCCCCTTGCAGTTCCCCCATGTGGCTTCTCCTCCTTCCTGGGACAGCTGGGGAAAGTTTTGCTCAGATTAAACCTAGACTTATTAATTTGGCCTGATCTGACTGATTATTTCAGCAGCATTATTCACTACTGGGGGATTTAAACTTTTTAATATTGTTTTTAAAATACCATTTATAAGAGCTGGAAAGATGATTCCGCAGTTAAGAATGCTGTTCTTACAGAGAGTCTGAGTTCAGTTTCCAGCACCCACATGGTGGTTCACAAACATCTGTCACTCCAGCCAGAAATATGATGCCCTCTACTGATCTCCAAGGGTACCAGGTGCACATACATACATTCATGCAAAACACTCATGTGCATAAAATAAACATTCTTTTAAAAAGTAAAAAAAAATAAAATTAAAAATTTTAAATAGCATTTTGAGGGGAGGAAACATTGACTCAAAAAATCTTTTGCAAGACTTTTCAGTAATTAGTTTAAGGACTGATCATAAAAGACCACTACTTTCTGATTTTTTTCCTGAACACAGATTACTGACTGCTAAAGAGCTAAAGGATTTTATGGGGTTTATGTCTACTTTTAATGAATAAATACAACCAATATTCTTTTCTACCTATCTGAATATAATTAAACACACACAATCAAACAAGTAATTTGAAATACACCATTTTTATTGTGTGTGTAATAGAGGGCGTAATGATCAAGGACTTAAAAGCCTCTCACATTTAATATAACCTATACTAAAATGAATTACTACTAGTAAGATGGTGTTTGGTGCTAAAATAAAACAAAAAATTTATACTTCATAATAAACACTGATAACCCTTAAGAACATTAAACTATTTTCTAATAAACTTGGGGGGAAAAAAGCACACAGGAAACTTAAATTTTTTTTGCAAAACTTTAATGGGACAATTTAGTTAATTTCTGCTCAAGTCACTAAGTCTTGTGTTTCTATAACTGTTTGTTTAACTCTAAGCAAAACAACATGTTTTGCATCAAGTAGAACATCTAATAATGTTGATCATACACCAGCATGACAAACACAGTCTGGCATCCACTGTAATTTAAGGGAAAAAGCAAAACCATTAAACTTTTACATGTTTAAAGAAAATATTTGAAGATGACTCAAAATGAGTGAACTGCTTAAATGTGCAGTAAAATCTTATTTTTAAGTAAATAAATCAATGTTGAACAAAATTACTCAAAAAAATTGATCTGAATATTTGAAATCATAACTTATTTTCAGTAAAGCTGTATTTCTTGTATCATATTTAGGAAAAGTTAACATGACAAAGATTAATTGAAACAGGAAAAATAATTCTAATTTGGACACAATTTTTTTTTTCTTTTACAAATCTATCCTAGGGTATTTCTACTATTTTGGAAAGAAACTGTATTAAAGTCCAGTCTTTGGGTCCAACACTCCTCAAATACCTTCAGAACAAGTTCAACAGAGCTAGAAATAGCACGATGTTAACAGATGCCAGCTGAGAACTTCGCTCAGTTTTGTTTTTTGGTTTGTTTGTTTGTTTTTGTTTTTGTTTTTTACTTTTCATTGTCTTTCGAAATAAATGGTATTTCCTAAAAGTCAAAACAGCAGAACAAAAACATCTTCAGAAAGAGCACTCAGTTCTTTGTCTCAGCCAACAATTTTAAGGTGTTGGCGATCTATGGTGGGAGAGATGTGTCCTGTCATAATCAGATACTCAATGGCTTGAGTGATGGCTTCCTCAGTAACTCCAAGGAGCTCCCTTCGCAGCTCAGTGACAGCCTTCCCTTCCTGGTGAGAACACTCTTGAATCAGAAACAGCACCTCCTTATGGATGAAATTAAGACCAGAATACTTAGAAACCCTGGCAACTGACACTGGGGCTCGGGACTGGGTCAAGAGCTGCCTTCCTGGGGTCACGCCTTCACGGCTTTGAACCAGCATCATGTGGACATTGACGACCTCCAGGGTGTGTGTGGATAGCTCATTCATATCTTCTAGAATGCGGATGCTCAGGATCCCAAGCAGTGTGGTTCCATCCGAGGACTGGAGGACACCAAGCACTTTTGCATACACTCCAACTGGCAGTGGAATTACAGGTTGCCTGGCTCTCTCTCGAGACAGGGGCTGCCTGCCCTCAATGCCCTTCGCGGTCATATCATCGATCTTGTACATGATGTACTGAGAAGCTTTCTTGGCCTCCATGATCATCCCCACGATGGAGACCCGATGAAGTGCAAACCCCCTGATCTTAAACACATTATCAACCTCAATGGCAGTTAGCAACTGGCTTATGAAGCAAGGCACAATGCTGTGAATGCCAGGCCTGCTCATCATGGTCAAGGGAAGCCCCAAGTCCTGAGCTCTGGCTTGCTCATGGCTGCCACTAGCTCCACTAGCCCCATCACAACCAGAAAAGCTGTCATTGCTCCCCAACCCACCCTCACTCATCATCTTTTGAGGACTAGGTGAGTTTTGATGGCTCGACAAGCAGAGGTGTGTTGGACTCACAGGGTGACTTCTCCACAGAAGCTCACTGGCAGTCTCTGGACTCTGGGGAAGACAGTACCTCCAACCGCCTCTAGAGCTTTGGCAGAATGCCAGTGCCCAATGCCACGCCTCACAGCCAACCTCACAACCAACCTCACACTTACTGAGCAGCCAATCAGCTATCAAAAGAGGCAGTTGCTGCCCATGCTCCCAGATTCTCGCGAGATTACAAAGCCCTCTTTCGAGTGCTTTTTGTTGCTATGCAGAATTTTAAATATGGGAAGTATGCCAACTGCCCAGCAACTGTATGCACTTGTTCCCAGATTCTCGCGAGATTACAAAGCCCTCTTTCGTGCGCTTTTTGTTGCTATGCAGAATTTTAAACATGGGAAGTGTGTCAACTGCCCAGCAACTGCAATTCGTACACTGGCGAGATTTAAGACTTTAAGGCTTGTTACTACCAATAAAGAATTATTATTCAAATCCTTTGCTATCAAGGACCTGCCTCTTAATAAATATCGGAAGATAGTTAAATGAATGAATAAAATAGTGAGGAGTTTATTAATAGTCTCCATTTCTTTATTGGTAAAAATAATTTTGGCTAGCTCAGAGTTACAAAAATGTGTAGGTAGTCTATGTGAACCTTAAATATAATATGAACTTATATATATTTTATATATAATCACATATAAAAGGAATAAAATTTTAAGTCAATATAATTAATGTGTTTTGTAGATAAATAATAATAATTATCTGGGTATACAAATAGACTAACATGCAAATGTCAACATTTAACTTCTGGATTTAAGTCCTTCTCAAAAAGGAGATAAATATTCAACAATTATCTATATTTTTAAATCATACATTATTAAATATCAAATTAGCTTAGCATATGTTTTTAAACATTTAGAACCTGACAATCAGATATTGCTATTAGATGACAATATACTTCTGTACAGAAAAATCTTGAGGTTAAAGTAACTGATTATACCAAATATCTATATACAATGCAAAATGTATAAATCCTATCAAAATGATAAGAACTGCCTACCTCACAGGATTGCTGGTTAAGGAAACCCTCAGAGATTCCAGACAGTTGAGAAGTTTCTCATCTGAAATACCCGATCGCAATTCATGAACATATTCTTGTGAAGACAGGGTACATTCATGCTTGCTGTTTTTTAGGCCACCCTATAAAACAAACAGAAGATGCCACTTTAAACAGGTATCAAGGTTTTTTTTTTTTAATCTTGAAAGTAAAATAAAACATAGACTATATAAATAACATTATGACATTTTCAAACAAAGTGTGTTTTAATAGTCTTCTCGCCTAAGCAATATTGAGATCTAATGCCTTGAATGCCAAGTTAAAAAACAAAAGTAATTTTAACTACAAAAATAAAAATTGTATCAATATTTTACTTTGTGTGAGTGCTTCCCCCACCCCCTTTTTAAATACAAGGAATGAGACTCAGGGCCTTAAACATGGTAGGTAACACTCTAAATCCATGTTATATTCCCAGACCAACAATTTGTCAAAGAACTGAGTGGCAAGACTACTGTGTATGATACACCATTCTCCTCAGCCCCTTTAAAAGAAAATTGTATTAGCTGGTACTCAGAGCCTGAAAAGAACACTGATGTGAATAGCAAAAAGTACTATTGATAGAGTTACTTAAACTTACATTCCAAGTATTAGGATTAATATTAGCTACTCCTCCTTAACTCACAACATAAACATTGTTAAGTCATCTTATTAATTTTGTAGTTGACAGATAACATATTTATATTCAGTTGTATGAACTACAGAAAAGAAAATTTAATATAAAATATTATACATAACCTAAATCTATTGAAAGGTATCTGAGTATCACTCTATTTCAAAATCAAGTGAATTTATTAAAGTATAAAACAATACAGTCTCCCATTAGCATGTTAATTAATTGAATCAATCACAAGCATATAATTCCCAAATAGTCACCTGTTACTACCATGTTGTAGATCAATCTTTAAAAGTCATTAAATATACTTATCAGATAGCAACTTGTCTTTAGTTTAATTTTCAGTGTATATGTGGTTATTTCTCAAAGACATTATCTCATCACAGCTTTATCACCTTGTTGTAACCATGTAAGTAGTTCAAGGAAAAGGCTGATGATAGGAAAATATCAACATGTTCAACATATTAATTACTTATAGTTTGGTCTTCCAGATAAAGTCATCTTTTTGTTTATTTTTGTTTGTTTGTTTTTAGTTTTTCGAGATAGGGTTTCTCCGTGTAGCCCAGGCTGTCCTGGAACTTGCTCTATCGACCAGGCTGCCCTCAAACTCAGAGATCCACCTGCTTCTGCTTCCTGAGTGCTGGGATTAAAGGTATGTGCCACCAACGCCCTGTGATATAACTAATTTTAACTGCACCATTCCTATAACATGATAAAAATCTCCGTGAGTTCGAGGCCAGCCTGGTCTACAGAGTGAGTTCCAGGAAAGGTGCAAAGCTACACAGAGAAACCCTGTCTCGAAAAAAAAAAATGTACTAAAATGGGTAGAATAATATGCCACATGCATTACTCTGAAAACTAGTAATACAAATACACTAAACTTTGCAAGTTTATAGTCAGAAACTATGTTTATGGAATCCTCAAATTTGCTTTTTAGGTAATAGGTCACACTGATCCATTTGGGAAGTTTCTATGTACAGTTCATTTGTATTCTGTCATTTTCTCTGTCTTGAAGATCTAGTCCAAGTCCTCAATGCTGGTCCCATCATGGAAGTCTCAGCATTAAAATATTGTCCCTTCTGTGTTCAAGGTATCCTCACAATATGTAAACTACTTGCTTTATATAAGTATATCATGTTCAACTGCCTCCCCCACTATAACAAAAGCTGTACCAAGGAAAAATATTCCCTGCACTGATCATCACTGTATCCCCATGTATGAAGTAACTTGAGCATAGAGTAAGCCATGGACATATATTCTGGAAGGATGGATTAGTAATAAGAAAATGAATGGAAGACAACACATTTGATTATGCTAAGCTTCTAAGACCAGTTAATATGCATTGTTACAGTGGTGACACTTAGGAGATTAGCAAGGAACATTCTTGGGTATGTTTGTTACAGTGATCAGTCCAGTCATGATGGATCTGACATGATCAACAATATAATCTATTAATGGATTCAAATTTTAAATAGACTATTATGAAAGGAGAAGCCTAATTTGAGGAAGTGGTCACTGGAGGTGTGACTTTGCAAAGTACCATTTTTCTTTGTTTTCTGCTGCCCATGGTGGGAACATTCACGTTCTGACATGTGCTCCTATATGTAAAGATTCTTCCTTTCCTCAGACACAAATGCCTTTCAAAGTCACACCCCCGTAGGCACTTCCAAAAACTCTGAAACTGTGTGCCAATATAAGAGTTCTCTCTTTAACCTTTTGACTCATAAATTTGTCAGAGTGGCCCCAAGTCTAATACAGACTTGTTTCAGAATGTGATAGCTTGTAAAAGTTTCAGGCACAAGATGGTCAGAGAGACTGAGTTCACAATAAGTAGCATTCCAAGGAACCATGCCCTGATTTATCTTGTAGCATCCTTTGGGTGGGAATATGTAGTAGTCTTTATAAACATTTTGCTCATGCATAGGGATAGGAAATATCTCAAAGATAGTGCATATAAAGATGTTCAAAAGATGTCCTTATATGTATCCTATCATAGACACAGAAAATGTTCACTCCACTTGCTAAATGAAATTTAATAGGATTATATTAATGGACACATGTGGCCACGGCTGACATGCTGTTTATGAACACTTAAACCAGCACATCATGGAGGAAGTCACCCTTCTGCACATCTACAAACCAACATTTTTAAAATATTTTCTCAGTTTTTGTTGTCTTTTCCTTTTTTTTTCTTTTTTTTTGTTTTTGTTTTGTTTTGTTTTTAGAGCAGGGCTTACTTTGTAGCATAGTCCTTCCTTGAAATCACTTTGTAGCCAAGGCTGGCCCTGAACTTCTGACAATCCTTCCATGGCAGGCTTCCAAGTAGTTATGATTATAGACATGAAGCCACCATGCTCAACTTTGGAAAGAAATTTAAGTGATGTCATTTGCATACCTAATTGTTATAAGGAATGGAAACAATTCAATGTATAAGAGAGAAAACAATGTTTATAGAATAAAGTTTTTCACAGTTAAAAGTACTTTGGAGTTTTAACATAAGTTCATGTTTGCACATTACAAAAACATGACAGCTTGTTAAAGTTAGAGTGGTTCTTGAAAATCAGTTCTTTTAACATTATCATTATAGAAATAAAGAATCCAGGAGAGCATTGTGAAGCAATGACAGGTGAATCTCTTGAGTTCAAGGCCATACTGGTTAACATAGTGAGTTCTAGGACAACCAAGACTACACAATAAAAAAAAAGTAGAATCCAAGGAATAGCTAATTACTGAGCATAATTAGTGAGGTCTCAGGACAAAAGTATAAATATTTTAACTTTCCATAATTTATTTATCCTTTCTATGCCACTTTTCCTAATCTTGAAGCAACAGGTATTTAAGTCTGAAATCTCTATTTAAAAAATGTCAAAGTGTTAGATTACCTTCAGAATAATCAATATGGCACAACATAATATTAAAGAAATAACCCTGAAACAAAACACTGCAATAGATTAAACTAAATCTCACTGTACTTAATAGGGCTGTAATACAAGAATGGCTTATTATTAACATCCTGTTCTGATACTGAACAAAGGCAACAACTAGATAATGGATGGATAATAATTGAAATTTTAATTAGCTGCTCTGTATGAGATTAATGAAAATTACCACTGTGCCCATTTGATCTTTAAAAAATAATGTAGTCA